AGCAATATCAACAATAAAATAATGACACTACCGGAAAAATTTGACAACCGCTACCTGTAATTTTAAAATCTTTTTCCGGCAGAAGCTTCTGTATCTTATGCTTTCGAGTATAAATATTTAAATGAATTTATTTTTTTGTGTGTGCCAACCATTCCTAGATAAACACGTGAGAGTATAAAAGTCACAAATTTTATTAGTATTTTTTATTTTTCTGATTAGGGATATAATATTTTCTATGATGACTTTAGCATACAAATTTAACGATTCCACCAAAAAAATAAAATTTTATCGATTATAAAATAATGGGTGATGTTGTGTTGTCATTGACTCGACTCATTTTACCACTTTCCGTATTTTTATTAACTAAGGCAAGGATGGAATCGGAATAATAGTGTTAGTATACGATAATTTAATTTTAGTAGTTTATAAAACAATATAATCTATAATGCGAACACAACCGTGGTAATATATACAAAAACTAACCCTCATCGTTGAAAACTTTAACGACTTCTTGATTTTGTGTACGTTTGGCTCCAAAATATTGAAATTATTACCTGCTAGATAAAGTCTTGATTTGGAGTTTAGATCCAAATTAATGTTATTTCTTAGTTCCTTACTTTCATCATAATTCTGTAACATTCGGTAGAACTCCAAACATTTCTTGATTTATTAAGTTTTTGAGTACTTACTATTAAAATATTTTCGAGGTCTTCTTCCACAGTTATACATACATGGTAGCGGAAATGAAACTCCATCAAACAAAAACATAGAAACTTCAAGTAGTGCTCAATCATCCATTACATCAAGTAGAGAGTCGTGCGCATGAAATCACGCGCTACGATTCTTCACAAAAACTCACTGCCGAACAACTCGCCGCCATCGTCTTCGCTCTACCTCTCCGGTTCCGGCTTCGGCTGGTCCCGCGAGAGGGCCCCCGCCCGGCCCGTCTGCCACTTTGGTTCGAAAGAGCTCGTTCCCCTAGATGCCCTAGATCTGAGAAGCCTTTCTCGGCGAGATGGTCGGAGAACACCGTACGTGACGACCGCGTCTTGGTGGTGAGGAGCGTGGTCACTGGCGGCTTCTGCTTGTCGCGGGTGAAGCGTCTTTAGGCCTCGATAGCTACTCCTCTGCATCAGCCTCACGGTGCTCGACCGGTGTGGATCTTCGTAGATCCTCCGCCTCCTCTGTGTTTCCGGCGAAGACTCGGTGGGATTGGCCTCGGAGCGACGTCCGATGGTCTTGGTTCAGCTGATTTCTTCTCTTTAGGATTCACTCTCTTCCAAGTGTCCTTGGGAGATCCGCCGTGCTAAGGGATGCCTCTGGTGGTTACCTTCTCTCCGTCATTCTCCTCTGCTTGGGGTGGGTGGTGATTACGGCATTGAGTACGGTTCCTGTCCTATCCATGTTTCCCTTTTGTTCTCCTCTTGGCTTGTTCTCAGTGAGATTTCAGGGAGTTGGGG